AGACTGCAGTGGAGGGTCTACCCAAGGCTCCCACAAATGTCCCTGGTTAAATGAAATGGATTATAAAATAAAGCCGCATGTCACATGTGGGAAAGAGATTGGGAGTGATGGCTATGAGAGAGAGGCAGAATGGTTTGAATGTATTATACATACCTACAAAATTAATTTTAAAAGATCCAACAGTATCCCCTATATTCCATACTACTTTAAGTTGTAAAAATCAAAGTGGCAGCCAGGTGTTGGTGGCTCATGACTTTAATCCCAGCACTCGGGAGGCAAAGGCAGGAGGATCTCTGTGAATTTGAGGCCAGCCTGGTCTACAGATCGAGTTCCAGGATAGGCTCCAAAGCCAGAACAAGCTACAGAGAAACCCTGTCTTGAACCCTGCACCTCCCGGCCCCAAATCAAAGTGAGATAAGGTTTTCCTACAAAGACTTTATGGGTTTAAGAGGACTGATACCCAGAGAGAGGGAGGGATGGAGAGGAGGGAAGGATCAATCTTTGATATTCTTGCTGTATAATATATGGTGCTACATTTTTGGCTTGTGTATCTATTTTTAATTTTAGTTCTTTTTCCCCTGCAACAGAGAAGACCAGTTCTGTATATTGCTTAAGTTTCAGCCCACGTTGTCTGCTCTGCTAGTGACCCTTTGTAATTTGTTCTTTACTGACTGTCAATTCATCAGGGTAATTTGAACTATATTTATTTTTAACTACTTGAGAAATTCTAAGCAACACAAGATGCAACCATGATGACTGTCTAATTATTATTCATTTTACTTCAAATTAATAGTGATTCAACGATTTTGCTTACTGTAAACCCATCAGTAAGAGCCAGCTTCAGGGGTACTCCCCTGGCATAGAAGACAAACACATCAGGATGAGGCAGGCAGATAAGCATCCTGTACACTCCAGCTTCTTCTTAGCATCTAGAAGTTTCCCCAGAGAGTCGCCATAAGCTACTAACATTCTGTCACCTATCTTTGCCTGAAAGCCAGGACCAGGTTGATAACACCCCTTGCCCCCCACAGGTCATTATGTGAACAAGTAAGAATAGACAGGAACTATATCAACAAATGGAAGAATCGTTGGGGAAGGCAAATAGGGGATAGAGGCCAATTTTATGTATCTGGCACCATCTAGGACCACATCGCTGCAACAATGGATTACACCACTTTCCCAATAACTACAGGTACCTGGCTTTTCAACTAAACCCCCACAATATAGGAGGTCAAGATCATTGGTTTGGTCTTTATATAAGAATCTAATAGGTATCAGTTTCATGGTCAAAAACTTGACTTTTAACCTCAAGCTATTATAATAGCATCACTTATACACAAACGATTCATGAAAGAAATCAAGAGCCAGCAATGCAAACCCATTACCAGTACTGGAAAAAAACCTAGGATACCCAACATGTGAGTCAACCCATGGAACAAATTTCATTTAAGAACTTCCTGATGATCTAGGCCTCAAGGTCGAACAGATGTAAAAAACCCAGTTCTGCTACTTTGAGTTCTGCATATGACCTTGAACAAATTAATTTTCCAAAGTCTTAAAAAGGGGCTAGCACAAGATATTTATTTCTCCATAGGGAATGGGCTCCAAAAGGCCAGTTCATGCACTAGGGATAAATACTGGTTCCCCTGCTGGTAGCCCCACAAACTACCCAAGCCACCCAACTGTTGCCCGCATTCAGAGGACCTAGTTCAGGCTTAGGCAGGTTCCCCAGCTGTCAGTCTGGAGTCTGTGAGCTCCCACTGGTCAAGTCAGCTGTTTCTGTAGGTTTCCTCCTCATGATCTTGAACCCTTTGCTCATATTATCACTCCTCCCTCTCTAGGTCTGGTCAGCCTAGATACATGGGGTGGGGGGCGCTTGGTCTGGCCTCAAGTGATGTGACAGACTTTCAGACGTTGTTGATTCCCCATGGGAGGTCTCACCCTCTCTCTGAGGAGTGGATAGGGGGTGGGGTGGGGAGAAGGTTGGGGGAGCAGGAGGGCAGGAGGGAGAGGGTACTGGGATTGGTCTGTAAAATAAGACTGTTTTTAAAATAAATAAAAAAATTAAAGGGGGGGCTAGCATAGGTCAAGTTGGCCCCAGCCCCTTTTAAACCTGGTAGACAAGAGTACAGGGAGGAAGGTAGGCCCACCTATGGCAGCTCTGATTTTGCAGCACACTAACTATAAAACATAGAATAAGTGACAGCCTCATTAGTGTCATGGCGCTGGAATGACAAACGAAGGCATTTACAGAGAACCTAGCACACCAAAAATGGCAACAAATGGCTGCCCTTTCTCTAACCATTAATAAGAAGAGGGGCTACCTTACTTCATGATCATCGTGATCCACCAACCAGTGTTTCAAAATGTGGTCAGGGCATTGTAGGTACCAGAAAACCTGAGGTGTCTGTTGACCAAAAAGAAAAAACTATGTCCCGCCTATTCATAAAAGATCTCTAAGAAGGGACTAGATAATGTTATTTTCTCAATCAAACTTCAAGCTGCATGTGAAGTGTAAACTTCATTGATCCTGTCCCTCTGTGCTGTCCAGAGAGACTACTGTCATCCACACTTACTCTCTCCTATGGCAAGAGAATGACCCAGTGTCTTCAGTATTCTCCTGGATATAGACACACCTTAATAGGTCTGTAGGTTTTTGGTCAATTCCCCATGTGTTATTTTCCACAAATGGTTCTATCTCGAAATGTGTGTGTGTGTGTGTGTGTGTGTGTGTGTGTGTGTGTGTGTGTGTATGTGAGAGAGAGACAGAGACAACATGCATGTGTATGACTATATATATGTATGTGTGTGTGTGTGTGTATGTATATATAGTCCCCCTTTGACTAGGTTGGGTAAATTAATCCCTTGTATAAATTCAAGCTCCAGAGAGTGTACTTGGTTAAAGCGCTATTTGGGGAAAAAAATAAAAATAAAATAAAAGATCCAGATGACAAGATGCCCACAAAGTCTGAAAGGGCCATTCACAAAAAAAGTCTGCCAAGCCTTCTGTAGCTTACAGTTGTTTTTTCTGCTTCTCACACAATTTACTTCTATGGGAATGAGAGTGCTGCTTAGAAAAATAAAAAAGAACTGCACCAATAGAAGTTATGCTAATGCCAAACATACATCTTCTGGAAAATGATCAAATTGTGCTAGGGTAGAGCCAAAAGTTCTAAACCCCTGGAGGTAGAGGTGGGAATGTGTGGTGCAACTGGTTAAGTGTTTATTACAACTGACCTTGAGTAATTTTTTTTTAATAGGAAAGATGACTTGAAGAATTAAAGCTTCATAAAAATAAATACCCCTGTCACTTACAAATGCATTGCTTTGTTCCAATGTGCAGGATACACACTCTTGCAAGGAGAAATTAAGTCAATGCAAAGTGCTTCAAGAGAATTAAACAAAAAGATTTTGGCTGTATTAACATCATAGTCTAAAGAGCACAGAGGTTCTTTACCAAGGCCCCATCTCCTGTTGCTTGCCATCCAGTCCGTATTTCCTTTGTGTATTGCTTGCCTCCATGTGTATCCCCATGTCACAGATACACAGTATGTGCACAAGGGCGTGAGCACACAAGTAATAGACGCCACTGTCCTTTCTATACTATCTATATTGGCTTTCCCTTCTCGTTTACATAAAATGTTGTCTAGTTCTCCTTTCCAGCAGGACAAGCATTTGATTTGGTGTGGGAACAATTGAAACTATGATTACCCTATCCTTAAAAGCACCAAATGGCCCAAATTAAGATTTTTAAATAGCAATCTTCCCTTTCACATTTACAGAGCACTAATGTCCATGGTTTCATGTTTGAAATCAGCTAAGAATGCATTACTCTTATAACCCATCCAACATGTAATTAATTCTGCAAAGAAATAAAAGTCTTCCTAGGAAGGGGCACAAGGAAATGAAATGAACAGCACTTAAGTGTTTTCATTGTATGAAATGCATTGTGGACACACAAATCACCAGCAGTATAAATAAATAAAGGCTGTATGGGTGCTTGCCTTACACCACAAAGAAAACACTTGTACATTTGCACACCATGGCATGTTAGCCTGGGTTCCTGAAAAACATTGTGTAAATACAAGTGACTGTAAACGTGTGTGTATCTGGTGTGTCGGGGAGAGGCTGGTAAGCATAAGGGGTGGGACTTGCCAAAAGCAGCTATTTATGAAAATTCCTTTTCTCTCTCATTCATTCTTTCTAGCCTCAGTGTCTGGCAAGGTCCCTACAGTTACTCGCTGGCTTTTCATTCTAAAGACAGCCGACATGCTCTTAGAGCTTCCTCTGGTGTTATTTTTTTCCCACACCCTTAAAAAAAAAATCAAAACCACTCAATATATGTTTTGAAATGTTTTTAAGGAAAGAAAATCATTGGCCTATTTCTTCATTCCTCACTTCAAAGACCCCCATATATATCTGGCTAAATATGATCCTTTGTTATGCGTCCAAAAATATCTCTACCACATGGTATTAGAAAATAACAAATTATTCTATTCCAAAGATGTCACAGCTATTATCCTTAATTTGTTTTACCTCAGTGAGTCGATTTCACCACACTCCTCTCACTGAGTCCTACACGCTTGCCTTTTCTCTCTGAACACTCCATTAATACATTTAAGGACTGAAAAGAGGACACCAAGCGCCCTTCATACACAATGGTACTCTCCAAGACTCAGACATCTCCAACCACGGGAAAGTTAACCTTCCAGCAAGATGCCCACCCCAAACAGGCCGAGGAAGAGAGGTGACAGAGGGGCTGCGGGAGGGCAACCTCACATTTCTCCACCTCCAGAGAAAGGGAGGGCATGACAAGAGAGCGGAGTAGGAAGGTGGGCGAGTGGGCGAGTGGGAGACCGAAATGGGTGCTGGGGGGTGGGCGGGATGGGAAGGCAGAGAGTTCGGGGAAGGTGGGGATCTCAGCGCAGGGCTCAAGAGCAAGGCGGGGTTGGCGAGTGAGGCGGGCACCGCGGTCAGGGCGCGAGGGGGCCGGTCCTCACCATTGAACGCCCCTGCTTCCGCGGCCTCCTCCTCCTCGCCGTTCTCCGAGTCGGAGCGCATGGGCTCCTCGGCGAAGTTGACACCCTTACTGGGGGTGCCGCCCCCGACGGCGGCGCCCGCGTTCCCCCAGGTCCTGCCCTCATGGTCGAAGCGTGCGGCGCCCTTGCGCTCGTTCTCCTGCTGCAGCCTCGTGAAGTGCTGCAGCGCGAACTCCAGCAGGTCGGCGGGCTGGTGCCTCAGCACCTCCACCGTGAAGCCCTGCAGCAGCTCCGTGAGCCCGGCGGGGATCTCGATGCTCATCCTGCCTGTGCACGCCGGGGCGCCTGGGCGCCGCCCTCGCCCCCTGTCCGCGGTCCGGTCTCGGGCTGCGCGGTTCCCGAGCGAGCGCCCCCGGCGCTACCGGCTGCGAGCGCGGCGCACTGGGCCCCCGGCGTGGCTGCTCCGTGCGACGGCAGCGGCAGAGCGAGCGCAACCCGGGAAGGCTGGCAGCATCTCCAGCTCCTCCCGCTCCCTCTCCCGCCGCCACTGCACCGCCCCACGCCCGGCGCCCCGCCTCCGCCCGCGCGCCCACGTGATCCCCGGAAACCATGGTAACCCGGCGGGCGGGTTCAGCGCCGCTTTGCAAGTGGCCTCCGGGTGGAGGCAGCGGGAACCTAGGGCGTGGGGCCGAGAGCTCCCACAGCAAATCCTACCCATCCTGCCCAAGCCCTCTCAGAGTTGGTGTCGCGCAATTTATTCTGAAACTTCAGCCTCCACCTTGGTGATGGCCTTTTCTTTTCCTAGAATCCAACCGCAAGAGAAATGTGCCTGATGTCTTTTGTTAAAGTCACAACCGCTGTACTGGTTCTCTTTTGGATAAAAGAAACAACGGCGCCTTATTTGTTACAACATCCTTTTTCTTTCATTAGGTTTTATCCCGCCTTTCAGCCACCTGGCTGTGATGGTCTGCCGTACAGATGTTCTGCCATGGCATGCATGCTTGGTGCATTTCCTACTGGTTGGTGAGACAAAGGCAGCATTTATTTATTTAATTTTTAATTAATTATTTTTTTTTACATTCCAATCCCAGTTCCCCTCCCTCCTCTCCTCCCACTCCCTTCACTCTGCCGCTCCTCCCACCTGCTCCACTGAGAAGGTTAGGTCTCCCTTAGGAAGTCACGGAGGCAGGACCACAGCATCTCTCCACCCACACCCCTGTGTCTAGGCTGGGCAAGGTATCTCTCCTTATAGAATAGGCTCCACTAAGTCATTTTGTGCATTAGTGTTAGATCTTGGACCCATTGCCAATGACCTCATACATTGTCCCAGTCACACCACTGTCACCTATATTAAGGGAATCTAGTTGGGTCTTATGCAGGTTCCCCATTTGTCAGACCCAAGTCAGTGATCTCTCACTAGCTTGGGTCAGCTGATTCTGTGGGTTACCCCATCATGGTCTTGACTCCTTTGTTCATATTATCACTCCTCCCTCATTTCTGTTGTACTCCAGGAACTTGGCCCAGTAGTTAGTTGTGGATTTCTGCATCTGCTTCCATCTGTTTCTGGAAGAGGGTTCTACCTTCTCTGAGGTTGTGGATTGTAGGCTGGATATCTTGTATGCCTGGTATCCACTTATGAGTGAGTACATACTATATTTGTCTTTCTGGTTTTGGCTTACTTCACTCAGGATGGTTTTCCCTATTTCTGTCCATTTGTCTGCAAATTTTAGGATATACCACAATTTTCATTATCCATTCTTCAGCTGAGGGGCACCTAGGCTGTTTCCAAGATCTGTCCATTACAAATAATGTTGCTATGAACATAGTTGAGCAAATGTCTTTTTGGTGTGAATGTGCCTCCATTGGGTATATGTGTAACAGTGGTATTGCAGGGTAGTGAGGTAAGTTGGTCCCTAATTTTCTAAGAAATCACCGTACTGATTTCCACAGTGGCTGTACAGTTTTGCACTCCCACCAGCAATGGAGTAGTGTTCACCTTTTTCCACATCATTCCCAGCATAAGCTGTCATTGATGTTTTTCATTTTAGCCATTCTGATGAGTGTAAGATGGAATCTCAGAGTAGGTTAAACTTGCATTTCCCTGATGGCTAAGGATGTTGAGCATTTCCTTAAGTATCTTTCTACCATTTGAGATTGTTCTGTTGAGAATTCTCTGTTTAGATCTGCACCCTAATATAAATTGGATTATTTGGTAGTTTGATTTCTAGTTTCTTGAGTTTTTTTGGGATATTTTGAGATGAGCCTTCTGTCAGATGTGAGGTTAGTGAAGATCTTTTCCAATTCTGTGGGCTTCAATTTGTCTTGCTAACCATATCCTTTGCTTTACAGAAGTTTCTCAGTTTTAGGAGGTCCCATTTATTAATTGTTGCTCGCAGTGTCTGAGCTACTGGTGTTCTATTTAGGAAGTGGTCTCCTGTGCCTATGTGTTCAAATGTATTTCCCACTTTCTCTAATATGAGATTCAGTGTGGATGGGTTTATATTGAGGTCTTTGATCCACTGGACTTGAGTTTTGTATATGGCAATAAATATGGATATATTTGCATTCTTCTACATGTTGACAGCCAATTATACCAGCACCACTTGTTGAATATATTCTTTTTTCCATTTTATATTTTTAGCTTCTTTGTCAAAAATTAGGTATTCATAGGTGTGTGGGTTGATATTGAGGTCTTCAGTTCGAATCAGTTGGTTTGCCTGTCTGTTTTTGTGCCAATACCAAGCTGTTTTCATTACTGTAGCTCTATAGTAGAGCTTGAAGTTGGGGATGACGATGCCCCCAGATGATCCTTTATTGTACAGGGTTATTTTGGCTATCCTGAGTCTTTTTTTCCATATGAAATTCCATATGAAAGAATATTATTCTTTCAAGGTCTGTGAAGAATTGTGCAATGGGGATTGCATTGAATCTATCTGTATATTACTTTTGGTAGGATTGCCACTTTTTACTATGTTGATCCTACCTATGCAAGAGCATAGGAGATCTTTCCATTTTCTGATGTCTTCCTTAATTTCTTTCTTTAAAGACTTGAAGTTCTTGTTATACAGGTGTTTCATTTATTTGGTTAGAGTCACCCCAAGATACTTTATGTTATTTGTGGCTATTGTGATTTCCTTCTCCGCCATTCTGTCATCTGTATATTAGGAAGGCTACTGATTTTTAAAAAATCAATGCTACATTACCAAAGGTGTTTATCAGTTGTAGGAGTTCTCTGGTAGAAATTTTGGGGCCACTTAGGTATACTGTCATATCATCAGCAAATAGGGAGAGCTTTACTTCTTTTCCAATATGTATCCCTTTGATCTCCTTTTGTTGTCTTATTGCTATAGAACTTCGAATACTATGTTGAATGGATATGGAGAGAGTGGACAGCCTTGTCCAAAGGCAGCATTTATTGTAAAGCACTTAACCAAAGTTAATTGATATCCTTCAGACAGGATACAGGGTCGACAGGACAGGTGGTCAGACAGCAAAGAATGTGTTGTATGACCAGCCTCTTTGCTTATTTTTAAAACTTTTCCTGACACTTTGAGTCATTTCAATTGGGATATAGCAATATAAAGAAAATAGAACTACACATTTGTGCTTTTTAAAGTAAGCCCTTGTCTTTAAACAGCCTATTCTAAGAATTTTGAAGCAGAAAAAAAATCTTTTGCCAAATTAAATGCCATTTAAATACACATATTTCATTTTCTGTGATGCTCATTTCATTGTAAAACTCTCCAAGAGCTAGTCTGTTTAGCTGTTCTTCCTTTGGTTTATTTTATTCCCTTAGTTATTCCCATTTACCTTTCTGCCCACACAGAAGACAGATTACAGGACTCAGGAAACCCAAAAACTAGAAATCAGAAATACCACTTTGTTTTTGTTTGTTTGTTTGCTTTTTTTTTTTTTTTTTTTTTTTACTTTAAATACATCTTATCCATTTGGTTATAAGGCATCTTGTTTCTTCCATAAGGGAATGCATTTCTCAAGTTCGGTTTCTTAACCTCCTAATAATAATAATACTGGTGTTTTGTTTGCTTTATTTTAAAAAATGCTTCTAAATTGTATTTGGAGAGTGTGTAAGAAGTAATCTCTTAGAAAATGTGGTGACCTTCACATGTGACCATTCAGAACACAATAGTAACCAAGTCCTCTACCATAGAAGCATGATTGTGTTTTACAGATCAATAACCTATATAGATATGCATGTCTATCATCCCTCTTCAGTTATGATGTTTACATTAGTTATGAATACCATTGCTCGCATGCAGCGGAAAATGCAAACTGTACAAGTTAAACTGAGATGGGATGCTAATCTTGTAAAGCAGGCTGTGGAAGGCCATTGTGGTGCTCAATGGTGGTCAGTAATCCCACACTCCTTCAAACTCTTGCTCTTTAATTCTGGGTTTATGGCTGTTCCACCTCTAGTCATTTAGTCCAAGTCAGCTAAGAGGAAAGCAGGAAAGGGACAGAAACCCTTCACCCCACAGCAAACACACCTCATCTTTTCTTTTGGCTTGGACTTATATTGGTCATACAAATTGCATTTCCTGGACGTGAAAGTTATGGTTCCTACAAGCCCATGTGATCTTCTGTGCCATGTAATTTTGCCATTGCTAAACCAGCTAACTGTGGGTGGGATTGTGCCTGCTTTGGCCAGTGCTGCATTTATAAGATGCTCTAGCCCTATGAAAAATACCTGACCAAAGTTCTGATCCACAGAGTTAGTGGACATAAAAGAAAAAAGAAGTCTGTCTTAGTCTCTAAATTTTGGAGTAGTTTGCTGCACAACAATAGCAATTAAATGCTACATTAAGAAAATGTAGGAAATGCAAATATTTACAGATGAAGGAAAACCAAGTCTGGAACCAACTATTGGTCTCTGCCATGATGTTTAATGCCTTTCCCCAAGGACAGAAGAAAGAAAGCACTCTTCTTGCAAACATTAGCAAGAGCTATATTTTCAAGTATCATCCTCCAACATGTGTTCCCAACGTCATAGATTTCTTATGTGAGTCATGGGGGATGGCTCTCTCATCAGTCACAATGCCAGGAGTTCTCATTTTCTTAGGGCTATACAAGAAGAAACTTGGGTATGAAATTAGTCATTAGTTTAGATGGACTGTTGGTCTCTCTTCTGGGAGGTTTCCAAGAGTAATTAAGAGCAGATATGTTTAAACTATCTTGGCAATCATTGCTCTGTTAATTTTTGCTTGCATCAATTCTTAAGTCAATAACCTTGACCAGAAAAAGAAAGGCTTCATCCCCATGTTCCTGTTAAGTTATGCTAAAACTGTTCTCAGAATAAATGTTCACTTCTCAAATCATGTTCTGGCTTTTAATCACCACCACATAACCTTTGAGATAGTACTTTATCATTTCCTTTGCTTTCGTTTTCAAGATACTTTCTTTTGAGCCTTTGAGTGTAATGACAGTGTCTTATAGGGATTATAAATCTTGAATTCAGTGCTATTGATTCTTTGGTTGTTCATTTACAAAGCAATTTGCACTAGTTTCTCAGAATCAAACTACAAGCAGTTGCAAAAGAA